TCCCTGTTTTAACGGATGGCAAGACTGTGGAGTGACAATCGGAGCATGCTTTGTCACTACAAGTTGAATTAATTTTCCCAAAAARTTTAATCGTTATCTATAAGCGTTTAATACAACGCGCCCTGAATATTAGCTTGGTAAGCCCGCTTTTGGGTTGTTTAGGTACGATGGCGCTCTGTGGTTTTTCGGCTCTTATTGGATATAGTCCTWGCGGGACCAGTACAGATTATCCAGATCAAGTGCACTCTGTTGCTATATCTGGCTGTCAAAAAGACATTTCCAGGCATCTGGAAATATTTGGCATTCAGGCCCGTAGCTAGGGGGGTGCAGGGGGTGCGTTCGCCCCCCCGCGAGCTAAAGGTCCGCTTTTTAAGCAAGTGAGATTTTGGCTGGTATGATATTTTCACGTAAAACTAAGTAAATAAAAAATCAATTTTACTTTAATAATTTATCTATACCTATGCGCGTCCTATGGGACTTTAAAAAAATAAAGTATATGGTTGGTCCACTTTTTGTAAATTAGCACCCCCCCAACAAAAATTCTAGCTACGGGCCTGGCATTAGTGAAGATTCGTCCCTGCATAATGAAATGATGTTATTGTTGGCTCGTGCAGGTAATATAGTCTGCGTTTTATTAATTTTTCATCGTTGCCTGCCTTTTACCGGTAAGCGTGGTATCTCTTGGCACATCTCTGTTGTGTACCGGCAACTTGATGACAAGCTACAGTGGCAGGGATTCGTTCATGTGATTCAATCGTGCAGCCAAGATAGCCCAGCTGTTGTTTCTATAATGCAGGATGTGCTTCGAACCTTGAAGCAAGAACACCCTGAAATCAGTAAGGCATACCTCCGTCAAGACAACGCTGGGTGTTATCATTCGGCCACAACGATCCTTTCATGTCCAGAAATATCACGATCTACTGGAGAAAAAATAGCCCGTCTTGATTTCAGTGATCCTCAGGGAGGTAAAGGAGCGGCAGATAGGTTGGCAGCAACATGCAAATCACACATCGCGTGTATATTAATGAGGGAAATGATGTTGTTACCGCCAAACAACTAGAGAGTGCCATCCTTTCCAATGGGGGAGTAAAGGGTGTTCGAGTCGTTTCACTGCAATCCATTGCTAACTCTCAAGAGACCACACAAAAGATCCCAAACATAAGTAAGCTTAACAAATTTGAGTTTCTGTCTGGAGAGAAAATTAAAGTATGGCGTGCTTATGGCATAGGCACTGGGAAAGTCATCAGAATTGAAAAGCCCTCGACTACAGGTAAATGGATTACTGAGTTAGATTTCTTGCCATTTTCTGCCACTTAATTTCTTACCCTTTTCTTTCAGAGGCCAATCATAAATGGCTTAGCTCGTCTTTCTCACCAGGAGAATTTAAATATTTTACTCCCCAAACAACTCGCAAGACCCAATCGGAGACGCTAACCGAACCCGCTGAGAAGAATGTTGAGCCGGAAGATATGAGTACAGACCATACCTCCCAAGCACTCTTCTCTTGCCCACATGATGGTTGCTTTCGTTTTTTTCAAAAGGTCGGGAATTTAGGAAGGTACTTGACTTCCAAAAAAATGTACTAGGGCCCTCCAGAAGCACTCCCTTGTGGATCTCGCAGAGATGGGATACAAGTGCGAGCTAGAAGAGGGTATGGAGTAATACCATCTCTCCAAGCAGCTCCAGTTCAAGAGGGGAAAACAAGCGTCGCCCCTGTTAGTCAAGCCTGGGCTCTCAGAGCAACGAAAAAGGCGTACCGCTTTAACAAAAACCAAAAATCGTATCTTTCCGCAAAATTCCAAATTGGTCTGTCGACTGGGAGGAAAGCCAATGCTGAAGCTGTTGGTGTGGAGATGAGGCGTGCGCGTGGTCAAGATGGAGAGAAGCTCTTCAAAGTTCCAGAGTTTTTGAGTACTCAGCAAATCGCCTCCTATTTTTCACGCCTTGCGGCCAAGATCCGAAAGCAAACACCATCAGAGCTTGACCTTCACGCTGTCGAGGATGAAGAGCATTTTGCAGCTGCCACAGATARAGCAATAGAATCCATCCATCTGCAGCATCCTATTGTCTTCGATCATTACAACGTTTGTGCCATGACTGAAGATAATACCTTTAAAAAATCTAAAAGTTGGAATGCTGCAGCTCATATGTGAAAATCTTGGCCTTCAAGTCCCTAAACCTCCGATTCGTCGCAAAGTCCCTTATTTGGAACTACTGAAAGACGTGTTTAATAATTGTACCTGTCAACAATGAGTTTCATCGTAGCTTACAGTCAAACACATCCATGTATTCTTGTAAGGCTCTTAAGCAACTCGGAGCCAAGTTTGTAGATGTTCTAGATCCAGCACTCTAATTGTCGTTGTTCAATATAAAAAGAAGAGAAGAGAAGAGAAGAGAAAAAGAAAAAGAAAGAGAGAAAGAAAGAGATAAAGAAAGAAAAAACAACCGGAAAGACTGGAAAGAAAGAATGAAAGAAAAAATAATGAACGAATGAATAAATGACGTCAATTTCCACTTTTGTACAAAATAATTCAAAAATATTATACTTCGTTGCTGAGCGCGTGCTGCGTTTCAGCTAAATCATCTACGAAAATTTGTTTTCTCAGGCGGTTTCATACACTTTGCTCRTCAAAATTTAATATGTAAATSAAATAAAAGGCTTAGATTTCTTTTAAAACACTCCTAAAGCTAAAGAAYACGAAAAGAGCMATATTCATCATGTAGTGTCCTCCAGCTCTCGAGTGGTATTTCAAGTTATGGGATAAAAAGAGAKWTGTTTTAAATAAAAAAGAGTCCTTGAATAATTGCTCAATCACAAAAAGGCTAGTATTGCAATTCTAATTGGAATAGTAAAAAATCATTAACGAAGTCTCAACATTTTAAGGAAAATAATGGATGGGCTTGACTAAAGTTTTCAAATAGATAATGATTAACTTTTTTGGGAAAATTAATTCAACTTGTAGTGACAAAGCATGCTCCGATTGTCACTCCACAGTCTTGCCATCCGTTAAAACAGGGAAAA